GGGGGGGGGTAGTTGCTCGTCATGCTTGTCATGTGACAGCATTTTTTCCCCTTTTTATTCGAAATATTTCCAACTATATCAGGAAATATCTCGATTCTCAAATATGTGTAAGTAAATGCGTTTTGCACCTTATAGATTGTTATTTGATCAATATATGGTGATGGGCAAAGTAGACTGACAGCGTAATCTATTAACTACACATAAAAACCCGACTTTTTACTTAAGTAGGCTACCAGATATGGGTGTCATGCCATAAAATATTTTTAATACGACTGACTTTGTATTTAATGTGAATTTAATAACAATATTGTAAGTTACTAATTATAATACTTTTTTTTTACAGAGAGCAAAGAACATTTACATTATCAAATAACATTTTCATTCAGTCAAGCCAGAGTTCAGGCACTCTCAAAAACTCCCATTAAAATCACTAAAGCTTTTTACACTGTGAGGTGAATATCTTACTTACATTCGTACGTACGCACATCTGCACTTTGTTGTTTCTGATGAGAGAATTCGCCAGATAATTAAGTCAGTGAGCAAGTGAACAAAACACCGCGTTTCAGCGATGACTCATCTGAACGTCTCTGATTGGCCATTGCATTCATAAGCTCAACAGAATCGTGTGTGATTGGTTATAATGCAGCGCTGTACAGACGCGTCTGTCTCTGGCCAGAGTTGCCAAGTCCACATATTATATGCGACTTTGGGCTTCTTCTTTTGTAAAGTTGCGTGAAAAAATCCCAGGTCGCGGGTTGCAGTTTCTTGGGCTTATTTTACAAAATATGGTTGCTTGTTAGGAAAATCTGACAAGCAACTTAGTTTCTTTTTATTTATGTTCACTGTATTCTACAAAGCATTGACTGACACTCTGTCTGCTCACAGTTAATAGCCAATCAGTGCAAAAATATAAGAACGTGATTTTTCTTCAATGAGGGATTGGAGAAAAATTACGTTAAAAAAAAAGGCGCGTGATGCTGTGATCCAAGTGATGATAGTACTAGGGGGTGGGACAATATATCGATATGGCGATATATTGTTGTCCTTCATGCGATACGAGAATCGATATCTGGCGCCAAATATCAATATATTACTACAATACAATACTACAATTTACTACAATAAGGCGCTCTATATAGATTTCCCTGCTCCCAGCATCTAAAAAATGCGTGGAAATCGTGGCCGCGCCATTTCCACCTTATTTCCAAAGTGCTCTGAGCAACCATGAACTGCGTTCTCTATGAAGATGGGGAAGCATGAGGAACCGAAGGATAAACAGATTTCCAGCCACTGTATTAGCTCTACTGCTCTATATATGTTTATGGAGATAAAAGGAGATGGAGATAAATAAAAAAAACTGCCCCGGAACAGCTATCAGCGTGGACTGTAGGCATCGATCACGTTATTATTGCAGAGCGCATATTGAGTCCGTGAGTAGCCTAACCTCTCCGCTCGGATCGCAGGTGAATTTCCCTCACTATATGAGTGAGAGAGAGCGGCGCTGGCGTGTCCAGTTTTATGTCAACAAAACTGGATGTTCTCCCTCTCTCCCAGATATTACAAGTGCGCGTTAGGGCACCAACCAGCAGAAACAACTGCACCTATGGCATGGACGATGAAACAAAACCTCGTCGAACCTGAGCGCGCAAAAGACGCGATGTATATCGATTATCGCAGAATCGCTGTATCGCAATATTATCGTATCGTGAGCCATGTATCGTTATTCGTATCGTATCGTGAGGTACCCTGCGATTCCCACCCCTAGATAGTAGTAGACATAAGAGAAGTGGGATGACTTTTTCTTTTATAAGGTAGCCTAATTTTTTATTTTTACAATGTTTTAGTAATGTATTAATTATCACGGGCTGTAATAAAAAAAAACAAGTAGGCCTATACTAATACTAAGAGTATATATATTTGGTTCGAATAGCCAATATTTTAGTAGGCTATAAATATGTGGCTATGTTACAGCTCCCCTTTGAAGCTCTTGTGTTTTTCTCCTTTTCCATCTCTCCAATCCTA